TCAGTGGACATTAGTTTCAGGCTTAGAAGTAAGCCCCATTGACTTGAGTAGGACTTGTCAAACATGCACAAAATGGATTATAGTTCATTTTCAGTAAATTATCTAAATTCAGAATCTTTGCAAATATTAAATTAATTTGGCGGTCTAATTGATGATGTGCACTCTAGGGTAATGCTTTGTAGAAACTATTTCCAAGTATATATCTGTGAGTAATATGAAATCATTACAACATGATCTACAGTATTTTTGAGCTTTTCAGTGAGTACAGTATCTGTATTAAGGTGCAGTTTGACAGTACACTGTGACTTGGTTGCTATGTCTTCAAACATGTGACTGCAGTTTAGTATTTATAAACATATGAAACTGGTTTTCAACGCATCTCTATCACATTGATAATTCAAGTGGTAATATTACTTTACTTGACCAGAGTCTCTCTTCAATACGTTAGGAAGTGAAATTATCAAACCATGCTTGCCTGTGAACTCAAACGAGTTACTGTAATTATTATATGGATCTGGTCCATCATTAACTGAGGTAAACTTACTTCAGTCAACTTATGGCCAGGCCCTAAGCTAACAGCAGGTCCTAACTCTTGTGTGTGTGCGTGTGTGTGTGTGTTTGTTTTTTATTATCTTTTTTTAAAGATAGCTTGTGGTCTTAGGAACATCTCCATTGTAAACAATAGTGGCATACTTCGTGTAAGCCCCCCCAAACACTTTCTTGTAACGCTCAAATCTAGAAGTGAGTACATAATGCTCTGTGTTCTTTATCTTAAGTTTGTTAAAATTTATCAAGAGTTTCACAGTTAAATATGAAGAGGTTCATAATAGGGTTAAAATGTTAAGTGTTGCAGTGTTTCTTACCTAATGTATGTTTGGTGTAAATAGAGAACTGATTGTAAGTATGAACTAGCTGTTGTGTGAAATAAATCTTTTGTTAAATTAATTTCTTGAATTCAGGTCATATGCACAAATGATTGAAAAACACATAAAGTGATGTGCTAAAGTAGGCTAGCAAACTAGACAGCAGAACATAGTTGGAAAACATCAGATTGGTATTTCTCTGCAACATAGTTGAATTGCATTGGAAAATAATTTCACAAATGGATTGCTGGACAACCTGACAGACTGCCATTAGGAAAGATTGTATAGTAGATATAAACCATACTAGCATCCACTTGTGCTCTAGTTGCTTATATAATCTGCATCCAGAAGGCAGAAAAAGCTGTTAAGGTTGCTTTGTTTTTCAGCTGTGCAAAGTTTAGACTACTATGTTGCTTGGTGAAGTGGCCAAATAATTTAGTCTGTCAACAACAGAAGAAAGTCTATAAACTAAGTCACCGGGACTTAAGCTGATGTTGCTATGCAGTAACTGTTCCTATGAATCATATTTCAGATTCTCCCCCCAAAATACAATCTAAGGGGTTGGATGCCACAGATCCATTCTACTAACCACAATGCTTTCCACCAGCATAAGGAGCCTTCTCCTGATGGAAGAGGCTTAGCTTTTCTGCCAGCATCAAAGGAAGGCTGCTTACACTGAAGGAAAGTGTGATCATTATTGGAACCGTTCCACAGGATCGAAATCAAGGTTGTCTAGTACATAATACTTCTAAACCTCTCTAGAGCATTTTAAGGTGTTCTAGGTAACAGTATGGTTTCCCAAATTAATGGAAGAATACTTAAGCAAGAGTAGGTTTTAGCAGTAAGGATGTGTTTGAAATTCTCTGAGTTACTGTTTGGTGTTACAGATTCACAGATTTTCCATAGTGGCTCCAGTGGATTATGGATCTGTGGATTTTCTATTTTTGTTAGTTCAGACTGCTGAACATGTGCAGTTTCATGTTTGCACTTTTTCTTTCCTTACAACTTACTGATTGTCCCATCCCAGAATCACACGGATTAAATCAGAGTAAAAAGAAATACAGATGTGATTCTTCTTTTGTTCTTTAATCGGTGCAAATTTCAGCTGTAGTTGATCAGTAACCGGTAAGAGAACAACAAAAATGTGAACTGAACTGATGTGAAATTTCATCGGTTTATTTTAATCATTCTCCAAATTACGTCAAATGGAAGGTGAATGCAGAGTACAGAGTTTACCACATTGTTTTGTAGCACAAAGCAGTGCTCTAGTTTAAAAACTACTAAAGTACTTTCAAAATGGTTCAGGAAGCCTGGGATCAAACGACTAATTTTTATCTTCCAAAACTTTTACTTAAAGTTAAATTGCTAGGACAACACTTTCAAAATCAAATCTTTTCAGATGTGTAGCTTTGAAAGGATCAGTCTGTCATCAGTGTCAGTTGAAAAACTAAGTGACAAAATAAATAAAACAGAAGGATAAAAACACTTGTTCAAGACAGTTTCTGAGGATTTTTCAGAAACTATTGAAGTTGTTCAATTTGGGATGTTAGCAGGTAGTTGTGTGCTAAATGAGTTGCATGTAGAGTCATGTCATGAGTATAATTTCGTCTTTTTTGTGTGTTCTGGTGTTTAATGGTATTTCATGGTTTTCCTACAAAGAACTGAGGCTTCTTGCAGGAAATTGTTACTTACAGAGCACATTTCACCTCCTGCTATATTGGGATTAATGATTTGAGACTAATATAATGCAGTCATAAACTTCCTGGCACTCATCTTTACTAGTTATTTGTTATACTTCTAACCCACTCTTCCTCTATGGAGCTCAGAGCAATTTAAATATGTTTTCCATGTGATGACCTATAAAGGCACCTTCTGCTCAGTTTCACTAGTTTAAACTGCATTATTGGATGCAGTTGGGCTTCTTTTTGTGTGGTGGGGGAAGTAAATTAGTAATGTTTAAACAAATAAAATATGCTTTTGCAGGTCTTCCTCTGGACTGCTCAGTGATGACGCTTGGAATTTTGCAAATCGCAAAATCATATTCAGTGTATAGTAATAAAGTAGACGTTCACACTTAAGGTTTTATATGGATAAGAAGTGTTTGACCATCATGGAGAAGCAGGTTAGAAATGGCAGCCATAGATCACTTTGAACTAGATAAAGGGTAGGCTGTAGTTCATAACAAATATGGAAGCTAATAGACTTTTCTAGTAAAAAAGGAAATAATATGAGCACAGGCTCCAGTGCAAATGAATTTAAGTTGTATGTAGCTCCCACAGAAAGTCATAGAGGCTTGGGTTAGTCTAGTCTTATTTTTTTTTTCTATTGATGCTAATGATGCTTAAGGTAAAAGTGCAAATGATATTGAATTATATGTATTTTATCCCCAATGTTTTTTCACAGCTGCAAAGGCTGATCTGTAAGAGAGGTGTCTTACCCTAAAGTGTTATTTTTTTGTTAAAACTGTCCATTTAATTGTAAATGGAAAGAAGGGAGAAGGTAAAAAAGTGTTTTCAATACCGCACTCCTCTATTCCAAATTGCAGTCTTTGTAGTGGCATTTTATGTTTATATTCGGAAACAAACTTCATAAAGTAGGCACTGTGTGTACATTGGCTTTTAATCACAATTAACTTTGAATTTAATTGAACCTTGCTTTAGAGTCCTTGAAAGACACTTGCACTGTAAAATTCATCTTAAGTTTGTATCAAAGTGTAATATTATCAAAATATTCTACTTCCATTCTTAAAGCAGAAAGTTTTGCACATGGACAATTTCAGTGAAGCAAAATAACCCCAATTTCATTGAAGCCCTTCTAATAACCATAGGTATAACGTAGAGGAAAAACTAATGAGTAGTAAAAGTCTATTCAAGCATTTCTGATACAAATGTGTGTAAGAGGTTTTTTTTTTACTTCAGGTAATTAATATTTACAAGGGGCCACAGTGGCTCAGAGGTTAAGACACTGAATTGCAGACTGGAAGGTCTGTAGTTCAGCAGTTTGAGACACTAGTGCCACGTGATGGAGTGAGCTCACGTCTCTGGCCCCAGCTCCTGCCAGCCTAGCAGTTCGAAAGCAAGAAACTGCAAGTAGATAAATAGGTACTGCTTTGGTGGGAAGGTAACAGCATTCCGTGAGCCTTGGCATTTAGTCATGTGGGCCACATGACCATGGAAACATCTTTGGACAGCGCTGGCTCGTCGGCTTGGAAACGGAGGTGAGCGCCGCCCCCTAGATTCGGATTCGACTAGCTCTCAAACAAGGGAAACCTTTACCTAATTAGTATTTAGCTCTGACCTGGATCTTATAAGATCTCAGAAGCTAAGCAGGGTTGTTCTTGGTCAGTTTTTGGATTAGAGACTACCAAAGAATACCAGAGTTCCTATGCAGAGGCAGGAAATAACCTCTGAACATATCTTGCCTTGAAAACCTTATGGGGACACCATAGGTCGTCTGTGACTTGCTAGTAAAAACAAAAAGTATTAAAAGAAGGTCCAGTTGTACCATATTGAAAATGGTAACTATTCACGTTTATACATGGTGCAGTTCCCAGTTTTGTAACTCTTCAAAAAAAAGTTGCATCTCTTTATATATTTGCAGAAAAGCATGATATGTCTTTTACAGTTTGTCCAGAAATTGGATAGTAAATTAGATGAATGCCGTGTAAATAAAGTACATTATCTCAGGGACATAGCATAATATAAGATTGCTTTCATTTATATGACTTTAGGTTTCCAAAGCAAGGCTGATTTGGAGTATAACTTGTCTTTATTTTTGTATATCCTCACCTAATGAAATAACAGGTCTCATTTGTAAGCAGCATAGTAAAAGTTCTGTTCTAAAATTACTTTATCAAAAATTGTTCAGGTCAATTTTCTTGTCACCATGTTTTTGTCTTCCCTATTTTATTCATGTTCTAAACCCTTAAATCTCTGTATTCAAAATGTATTACTTGCAATCATTTTTCAGTATTTTTTGGAGCTGTTGATGACTCACGTGCACTGAAAATAGCAATTTGTAGAATTTGTACAAAATGTTTAACTGTCAGCCATTTTTCTGTTTCCAGATTATGAGAAGAGTTTTGATTACTATGACATACTGCTTGAAAAGCGTAATGCATGCTCAATTACATTTCAGATGTTCCATTTAAGCAGTCGTCATCTGTAGCTGTAGCTGGGGCTGTTATAGGAGCAGTACTTGCTCTGTTTATCATTACAATTTTTGTGACAGTACTACTGACACCCAGGAAGAAAAGGCCCTCTTACCTGGACAAAGTGTAAGTTACATTTCTTTAAACCAGATTAAGTCATAGAGTCTCTCCTGAGTTTATATTGTGCCCATATGCATTTACACAATCCCTGATTTAGTAATATAAAATATCAAGATGCATTGGGTTATTTCTTGCCACTGCATATTTAGACAGTGCAAGGTGTATTCTGCCAGTGCAAGAGCCTCTTGCATTCATGGAATGTTCCATCCTTTACTATATGTGGTCATAGGATACACCCATAAGGTCAAAAAGATTTTTCCTTTGTGCAAATTAAGGAGTAGTTCTCCCTTTCTCCTTAAGCAGTGCCTATTTGCAACACTAGAAATAAAAACACCTTCCTTGTTCTAGCAGCTTTCATACTTCTGTTTAAAAATGTTGACAGTAGTTAAATTGTTTGCATCTGTTCACCACACTTGTAGAGGCATAATCAATGCTGTTAGACTTGCGCTGTCAGAATAGTTCTTTCTGATCCTCTGATAAATTCTTGTTAGATTTGCGGGGGTGGGGTACAATAGATTTTCTTTTTTTCTTTTTTAATAATTTTTATTTTCCATTTTACAAAGTATAATCATACATATCTTAGTATTTACATAAATAATATTCTTGAGTCTATTATTTATTCTTTTCCTTTATCCATTTATATACCTTAGCCCATCTTTCTTGAAATACTTTATCATCTTTCCCTTGTAATATTACACTTAATTTGTCCATTTCTGCTACCTCTAACAGTTTTATAGCCAATTCTTTTCTCATTGGTATTTTTTCTTGTTTCCAATACTTTGCTATTAGGATTCTTGCTGCCGTGAGAATATAGGTTAGTACAAATACCTCATTTTCTTTATATTCCTTGGGGATTATATTTAACAGATAAATCTCTGGACACAGATTCAGCTTAATATTTAACATTTCTCTTATTATGTTCCTTATATTTTGCCAAAACTTACAAATTTTTCTACATTTCCACCACATACGGATAAATGTAGCTAAATGAAACATTTAGCTGCTACAATCACCTGGAGGTTTTTTGCCATTTCCCTTTACATCTCCAACAGTTTTTATTTGGTGTTTTGTATACTTTTGCTATCTTTTCTGGAGTCCAGTACCATCTATGGGCTATTTTAAATATATTTTCCTTGAAGGTTACAGCTCTCGTCAATTTCATTGCTTTCCATACTTTTTGCCACTCCTCAAGTTGGATGATTTTCCCTAAATCTTTCGTCCACTTACTCATTGTACTATTTATTAATTCCTTCTGTAAATATTGCTCTAATAGAAAGCTATACACTTTTTGAATTAGCTTATCATTTGAGGATAGCCAAAAAAATTTCTTAATCTGATTTTGATTTCAAGAATCCTGTTACTTTGTCTTTATTATATCTATCCTGTAATTGTGCTTGTTCCCACCAAGTCAAGTTAATATTTTTAACTTTTAAAAGTTCTATTGGTCTTAAATTATTGTTTTCATCCAGAAGGTCATCGTAAACTATAGCTTTTTCTTTAGTCAATAACTTGGGGTTGATGAAAGATTCTAAAGATGACACCCATCTTGGAGTTTTTGCGTAGTGTTTTTCTTTTATCTCTGTCCATGTTTTTATTAGTGCTGATCTAAATATATGGTTATGAAAATTTTTATGTATCTTATCTTTCCCGTACCATAGGTACGCATGCCAACTTGGAAGGTTATGGCCTTCCAAGTCCAGAATTCTCCAATCTTTTAATTGTATCCAATCTTTGATCCAGCACATAGATGTCGCTTGATAGTAGAGATGCCAATTAGGTAGACCTAGTCCTCCTTTTTCTTTTTTATCTTGCAGTATTTTTAATTTAATTTGTGCTCTTTTTGGGTACCAAATAAATTTCCTCGTAATTTTTTCTAGGTCTTTAAAATATTGAGATTTTCCCTTTAATTCATCTTGCACTTCAGATGTAAGAAAAGTAATTCTCATGAATAACATGAGTTATAATCAGCATAAGAATAAATAATGTCATGTGTCCAAAAATTTGTGACTGACTGCAGTCCAAAGAACATTATCATATGTCCAGTTAACACAAGAGCTGTTGAAAGAGGCTTTGCCTTGTGAGAAGACATCAGGTGTACTAGCAAGTCTGACAGCTAATGCAACCATCTATAGCGAGCCCCTTTTAAATGCCCCCTCATTGCCATTCACTTCCTTTTAACAGCAACTAGCCTCTGAAACAAGTAGAGTGCAAAAGCAGCTGACCTGTTGAAACATTTAGCTGCTACAATCACCTGGAGGTTTTTTGCCATGTGAATTTCAGTTCATGGACTCTTGTATGAATCAAGACAGAGGAATTCAACAAATGTGATCCAGGAAATAATCTTGGTGGTATTCTTTCATGATATGAAGAAATGAAATAAAAAATGGCACAACCAAATTTTCTTCAGTTTATAGATAACACTTAGCCATTGGATTACTTGGATTTATGTTTATTTTAAAACGTGAGGCTAATTTCTCTGTGTGGTATATTTATTTTATTTTTAATCTCATAATTTAATATTTATTTATTAAGGTGTTTATTTTCACTTTAAGCAAAAGCAACCAAGGTAGTTTACAATCAATATTTATGTAAAACCATTACTATGAAATGGCAATGACTTTTGTATAAAGTATCAAATAATTAGTTTTGCAATTTAAATAATGTGGGCTTAATTTCATCTCACCAGTGGCAATAGTTAAAATTTAACTTTTTTGATGCAGGATTGATCTTCCTCCAACACACAAGCCTTCATCTTTGTATGAAGAAAGAGCTCACTCCTTGTCTCAGAAAGAAATAATACTTCCAGTAAGTTATTGACCAAAGTTTGTTCTTAAAAAAGATACATGCCTACAGAATATCACATAGTTTCTTTATAGAACATTATGTAAAGGTACCTGGTAGCCACAATGCAATACTTTCTTTATATAAATCTTTTTTTCTCACTTGCCAAGAATTTTGAGTGGATAAGAAAAAAATAAAATTAATATGTCAAATACTACAGTATTATTGAGGTATTGGACTGGATTCCATTATAAAGCTTCCAGAATACTTCTAGGCTCAATCTAAGGTAGATTTTAAGAGCAGAACAGATTGCAAACAATAGGAGCCACCTCTAAATTGACTGTGCACTATTGTTAAGTAGTTCAGGCTAACAGAAAGGTCCCTAAGTAGGGCTCCCCTTTTTCTGTGTTAGCAAAAGACCCATGGTAGGTGTGGTATGAACTACTCCATTGATATCTGAAAGCATCTTTAAATACTGAGGTTTTGTATTTTAGCATTTTACAAGTGCTAATATTGCCCAGGGCCTAAAACAGCATTAGGCAACCTTAGTGTAATTATCTGAATCACTCTTTTCTATACCGCCCACAACTATTCTGTCTATTTCGAGAGTCAAAGCTTCCTTTGTCAGGTACAAGTTAGAATGGAAGTCTGGACTTCCGGTTGATGGCAGCACGCTCACGGACTCACCTCCCGGACCTCCCGGGGGTGTCTCCATGCTCCGGCAGAGGGAGGGGGTGAGCAGGCTCGTTAACCCCCCCCAAGGGCCCGGCGAAGGGTCCCTGGCCAAGGAGCTTTGAGGGGGTAGCCTCTTCGATGGCTGAATGCCAGAGAATCGAGGCTCCCCCTTGTTCCAGTGGTTCGTCCAGCCGAGAGACCGAATGGTACAAGTGAAGCTAACCGGGTCAAGCGTAGGAGATCGGGCGTCAGAAATGATGAATGTAGCTGGGTCAGAAGACCAACTATGAACGTGAGTCAACTGAGATAAGATTTTTAAAAGAAAAGATGCTCCCTACCCGACATGGCGGAACGGCAGAAGTGAGCGGGGGAGGGACGCCTCCCATGCGTAAATCACTGAGCGAAAGGGAGGGGGGAGCGGAAGAATAAATGTGTGATTGCCCAGAAGTACTCACCCAATCAAGCTATACAGTTAAGCGCATATTCAGAGACTTAAAAAAGTTTTCGTGAAAGTAAACAAACAGGGAAAAGATGGCGGGAAAGAGGGACAGAGACAAAGAGAAACTTTTAAAAACGAAACCAGAGTCCCCGAGACCAGAAACGACCAGTGAGACGACCAAGGCGATGGCTGAGGTCATGCGCCCTCTACTGGAACAGCTCAATGTCTTTAAAGAGCAGATGTCGGTGGTAACAGCAAATATAACAGCGCAGCAAAAGCAGCTGGCAGTTGTAACAATGAGCATCACTGCTCAACAAACGCAAATAACGGACTTGATCCAAGTAATGAACCAGGATGCGGAGAAAGTAAAGGAAATGGCTGAACCAGGATGCGGAGAAAGTAAAGGAAATGGCTGAGACAACGCAGAAAGTGAGGAAGAAAGTGCAAAAATTGGAAAAGAAAACTGTTTCTTTGGAAGATCAGATGCTGCAAGTGCAAATGGATAAGGCCAACATGGTCCTGCGCTTCCAAGGGGTGCCAGAGAATAGAGGAGAGAATCTTAAAGAACTTATGAGTGAGCTACTCTCCCCAGCAACAGATATAAAGGCGGAATTGTTACTCAACGACATGGATGTGGCCTACAGGTCATATTCAGGATATATAAAGAAAAATAATCTGCCTGGGGAAATTGTAGTAAGATTCTCGAAGAGGCACATCAGGGATGCTATCCTGAAAGCAGTGGCTGTGACACCCCTGAAGGTGTGGGAGAATGTGGTCAGAACGCTAAAGGATATTCCATTTGAAGTAGGGCAACGGAGAAAGAAATACAAAGAACTTGTGCTCTTCCTCCAAACAAATTCAATTGGATACAAATGGCTATTTCCAGAAGGAGTAGCATTTAAGATCAAAGAGAAGAAGGTTAAGATTGACTCTGTTCTTAAAGCTCAAGAATTTCTAAAGGAGCAGCTGGGAAGGTCAGAGGAAGAGAAAAAAGAAGAAGACAGCAGGTCCAGCGGCGAGCTGGAAACTGGTTAATCTGCCGAGGACTCTTTGTCTGAGCAGGGGGCAGCAGCCCCGAAAAGTCCCTACAAACTGCGGAAAAGAGAGAAGATGTAAAGGCTAAAGGACTCTGAATTGTGCCTTTGAGAACTTTGGTTCCAGGGGATGATGGGGGGCACTGTTATTGGGCAATTAAATGTAAATGGGGAGGGTTAAAAGTTCTAAAAGATTGACACAGTTCATAAGAAGTACAAAGATGATAAGTTTGGATGCTAAAAAAAAATAGCTAGTTAGAGGATCTCCTCTCTTGGGTTTTTAGTCAGTAGTGGGTTCTTTACTTTCTCCCTTATCCCCTCCCCCTTTTCTGTTGTAGTTTTTTGTAGTGTTAAAAAAAAAATTAAAAAAAAAGAATGGAAGTCTGGATCCTTATATCCCAGTCAGAAGGTGGATGGGCGGTTGCAAAGAAGGAACTCAGAATGCAAAGGTACATTACACATCATAATCAGCTTGATTAGAGCAGAGGAGAAATGTGTAGGGTCATCTGTAAAAAAGTTCAGGGTCCTCTTAGGCAAAGTGCAGTGGTTCAGAGATGGATATCCTCACCTGATAATCCAAAATCCTGGGGTTGCCTCCTAGTAAAAACTTCTGCTAGAGCTAAATTTTCTGCATCTTTTGGAAGGGCTGCAAGATGCCTGGGATTGAATGTGTGAGCTAATAATCTGTCTGATTTGTAGAATTTTCTTGTGTACTCATATTTTTTTTGTTTTTGATAACATGCATTTACTCTTCAGGAGTTGTAGGTTAAAATTAAAAATAAATATTACATAATATCAAGAAATAGAGAATAAGCACAAACTGAAACTCACTGGGGTGGAATAAACAGCACAGATCCAGAGAATTTGGAGTTGAACCAGCACTATTTAATGTGTTCATTAATTATTTGCAGTCAAGAATCAGGTAGCCAAATCCCAATAATTTAAAGAAAAGATTATCAAATGGGGAAGAATTTTAGTTGTATTGTCATCTTGTATTGCACAGTGGCTTGAATAAAGGAAAGGCAATTGCAACATAAAATAAGCCATAACTGCTTGAGAAGAAGTTTGGAGAGTGTAATGAGAGAAGGAGGCAAATGGGAGAGGCAGTTCTATGTATGCTGCCTTTAAAGTTACACTGTTCTCACAGAGATCTGGCTGAGAACTCCCTGGCCAATCGGCATTATTAAACCTAACCTGAATAACACACACTGGAATGGTGGAAAGGTTTGGGGGCATACTGACAAAATTAAATGCTTTCCAGGTACTTCTAGAAGCATGTTAAGAGAAATAGTTCTCCCTGTAGTTTCCACTCACAAGTCCAGTCCATTATGTTGCATTATATGCTGCTATACCTGCCCTTCTTTTCTTCTCCCCTTCTCCATGACTGCAAATCCTGTCTGTGAGAGGGACCATTCCAATAGAGCTGGTTAATTGTTACAAATAATAATCTTGCTGAAACTTTGATCTGATTGGTCTCTCATGTCTGCCACCTTCTGATAATTTAAGTTTATGTTTATCCTGGCATGTGGTAAATGCCATTTTGTTCCTCTGCAGTCAGGGAACATAAGATTTAACTACCCTTAGTTAATGCTTAACTAGTAGGAAAAATACTAGGGCTATACCTGCCCTTCTTTTCTTCTCCCCTTCTCCATGACTGCAAATCCTGTCTGTGAGAGGGACCATTCCAATAGAGCTGGTTAATTGTTACAAATAATAATCTTGCTGAAACTTTGATCGGATTGGTCTCTCATGTCTGCCACCTTCTGATAATTTAAGTTTATGTTTATCCTGGCATGTGGTAAATGCCATTTTGTTCCTCTGCAGTCAGGGAACATAAGATTTAACTACCCTTAGTTAATGCTTAACTAGTAGGAAAAATAGCATTTTTCATGTGTCGTAGGCTATGATGCCAAGAATCCTTGCTAAGGGGTTTGGAGGGGTTGTCTTTGGCATTAGTTCCTCACTTGTTCTAGTATCAGCTCAGCACTTTGTTTATGAAATTCCCCTAGCTTTCAAAAGCAGCTTATAAAACAACACAGGAAAATGCTAAAATGAAACAAATACAAATTATACACTTTGAGCTCTCTGCATTGCTTTTGGAAATTGTGGCTTGAAGTACATTCATACTACTGATTTCAACTTAATTATTAAAAATAAACATTATCCCCAGAAGTATTTGAACAGTTTGTGTTAGGGCTCAGACCAAGAGCCTAAGTGAGTGTCTTGTACCCTGGTTCAACAGGGAAGGAAGGTGTCATATTATTCATTAGAATTTTTATGGGAGAAGTTTTAAATCTTTTCTGTATTGTTTTTAAAGAATGCAAAATTTTGCATAGTTCTTAGAAAATTGTTATCTAGGTATTAAAAAATATACTGTGCTAGTTGCTGAAACTGGAACATGAATGCAGTCAAACTTGTATCAGTAGAACTATGTGGATATCAGGTGATTTTTAGATCATGCTGCCTTTGAATTTTGTGTAACATAGGCCCCGTTCACACGGAGCAGAAGCCACGCTAAATAGACGGAAGAGAGGCGGAGTTACCTGGCGCGATCACACGGCAACATCTGGGGAGCGTAGAGCTCCCGTGGTTGAACTGTGGCGAACCACCGATAAAACGGAGCAAAAAACTAGTACCTCGGAGGTACTAGTTTCCGGAAACTGCGGGGCAAGGGCGGGCGTCTGATCGCGTTTCCGGTGGCATCCGGCGCCCGTCCATGTCCCCTTGCGAAGAAGGGGGTTTTTTTCCCCAAGTCTCCGTGGTTGCGCACACGCACCCAACGGAGCATGCGCATTCGTAGTGTACACAGGAAAAGGAAACCAGGTTGCCGCGCCGCGCGCTTCTTCGTTGCGCGCAGGCGTGTGTTGTGATCAACGCCTCTCCGTAACCACGGAAGCTCCACGGTTCCTCCACAGAACCTCCACAGGAGGTATGATCGCTTTACTGCGTGTTAGTTTGCCCTGGGGCAAACAGCCACGCTTCCCCCCCGCAGTTTCCTGTCCGTGTGACCGGGGCCATAGTCGCATTAGTGAAAAGGTGTATATTTTTATAGGCAACATTCAGTGTAAGAGAGCCCTGGCAGAGCTATCATCAGATACGAAAGTCAAAGGTAAATATGGATTTTGAATGTTAACCATGCTGTTAGCATTAAAAAAGAATTTTTAGCTCTGAGGGCTGGATTTATTGTAGCAGGCTTCCACAAGTATTTTCCGCTGAAAACATGAATGCAAAGGGAATGTAAAATGTGAGGTGAGAGGTGGAGAACTGACAGGCAGCAGTTCCCTGAATTATACTCATTCTTAAATATGGATATCAGTGCATTTTGCTTATTTATTGCAGGAAACACCAGGTGAATCTGACTTGCATAATCTAAGAGCCACTCTGACAAAACTATATCACTCATCTGCAGTGGTTCATAAAATAGTTCCGAAATAACATTCTTTTTACTCTCCAGAAAGAGCACTTCTCAGTGCAAAATCAATACAGAGACAAGGATCCTGGAAACATGCAGCATAAAGTAAGTCATATGCTTCATTATGTGCTATGCAAAGCATCATTCAGAATCTTCTAGAGCTGGGAAGGACAGATGTTATACTTTTGGGAGCTACATTTTCCCACGAGAAATTTTAGGAGATAACCATTCATGAAACAGTGGCTCAGTGGATGGGGCCAGTCACAAAGTGGCAGGTTGTACAGAATTGATAGTGTTTCAGAGCTACTTTGCATTGCTGGGGTGGGGAATTCTTTTCCTCTGCTGTTTCCTAAAGCAAGCCACCTCCCTACCCAAATAGTAACATGCCCTGGGGGTGGGGTACACAGTTACCTCTGTTTTTCCAGGAAGAGGCAAAAGCAGCTTTGAAGCAAGGGGAAAGAGTGGATAGCATGCTCATTTCCTGTCCAAAGCAAAAGGGAATGTGGGTAAGCATGAAACAGAAGAGGAGGGAGGACAGATGGTAGTGTTGGTGCTGTTTTCCCATCCAGAGCATGGGTGCATATGCGCATCGTCTCCTTTGCACAAAAGAGGAGATGTGCTGTTGCAGCAGCTATAAAGGGAACAATAGTGAAGTCATTTCAGCAGCATTAGGAGACAGGTGGAGAGCTATTTCTATTTGTATGGACAGTGACTGATCATTCTCAAGTGACATTCTGCCCACCCAAGTTCTAAAGCTGAGCTCAAGACTTTGTTGCACTGCTCTGCGCACCTGGGGGAATGGTGCTACAACACATACCTAAAGGAGTGGATCTAAGCCTTCCAACTTAGGTCTCTTTTGTCAGCATTTAGGAATTTATGGCAGCGTTGCTGAAGGAAGTCTAGTTTAATTTCTATTATTTTCTCCCATTTTCTGTTTTCTCCATTTCCCCCCTTCTTTTTCAGCATGTGTATTTGTGCTTCCCTGTTGTTCCACATACTGTTGGGCCATTGGACCACCTTTTTATGGCCACCATCATATTTTTTCTTTCCAGAGGAGGGACAGAAGGTTGAAACTTGTGCATGTTATCAGTCAGACACAACAACCCTGCTCAGCCTCACCTCTGATGATATAATATCAAACCACACATAGTCTTTCGTTTTGTTACCTCCAGTATCATTAATAATCTAACCCTTCTGGTTCTGGAACCTCTGATCCCAGATCAACTAAACTAAGGCCACGGGCACACGGGCAGGAAAATGCGGGGGGGGAGCGTGGCTGTTTGCCCCAAGGCAACATAACGCGCGTTTGCGCCAGCAGACGAACCATGGAGGTCCCGTGGTAGGGGAGAGGTGCCGAGCACACCACAATCCTGCGCTGCGGCAAAGAAGTGGCACGCTGCGGCAAATGGGTGTTTGTTGTCTCCGGACACTCGAGTGTGCGCATGCCCCGTTGGGTGCTCGTGCGCATCCCATGGACAGTTGGGGGGGGAAACCCTTTATACGAGGGGGCATGGGCAGGCGCCGGAACTACCACCGGAAATATGATCAGACGCTCACCCTTGCCCCGCAGTTTCCGGAAACTAGTACCTCCGAGGTACTAGTTTTTTACAGCGCGTCTTCGGCGGGAAGCCTTGGGTGAGCCACGGGAGCTCTACGCTTCCCAGATGTGGCGGTGAGATCGCGCCCGGAAAATCCGCCTATCTTCCATCCCTCTAGCGTGGCTAATGCTCCGTGTGACCGGGGCCTAAGATGAGAACTCCTTAAAATCAATCTCTATACTGATGAAAATCCCTCTGATCTTACACAACCATTAATAAAACAGTTCTTAAAAGGCTTCATCTGCCCAACCAACTCTCCAGTTTCTCCATCCACAACCACATGGAGTTTTGTAACATCCTTTGCAACTAGTGAAAGGTCCCTTCAGATGTTTGGCTCCATGAATTCTCCTTATTCTTGGAAGCCATAAATGTGGCAAGATCAGGCAGTGAACTCTGCTCTGTGTTTTGTCCTGCCTTATCACCTTTCCTGCAGAAATTGTTTGGCTAGACATCTCTTTCTTGCCTAAGGCAGAGTCCAGATTTAATCTCAAACTAGATCTGGTTCTGCCACTACATTTCATTTATATGTCAACTAACAGGGAAAGAACTCTATGCTCATTAAACGTCTGAAGGACCCGGGATTTCTTTATCAGCACAATATTCCTGTTTAGAATGGACCCTAGCCTATTTCTGTGCCATGTGGACGTATGTCAAGGTCAGTGTGTTACTGCCACTGAATCACAGAAGTCATTAAACTGTGTTAAAACTGCCCTATGAACCATTTCCCATGACAATTACAGCACACACCATTAAGGCCATTGCTATCTTGACAGCCCCATAGATTTCTACTCCTTCTGGTGCTTTGTAGATTGGTGACCTACTTGCAACACTCCAGTTTTGTGAAGCAGTATGCCCTATGTGAGAGCCAGCATGAACGGGACTTTTGGCATTGCAGTGGTCAGTGCCTTCTTCTTGTGACATCTCCCACTTTTAGGTAGAGCAGCTTGCTAATATTTTCCCATGATGTGCCTGCACAAAGAAGAAGAAACAGATTGCTTACCAGTAACTAATGGTTTTAAAGTGGTCACTTGTGCTGTCATGCAGCCAGTTCTCATTTCCACAACAGGTGCTCACAACCTGTTGTGGGGTCTAGACAGCAGCTGCATAGGAAGGAACATCGAGGCATTCACTATAACACTCCAGTCTTTGAGCAAAAAATGGTTGAGCTTAGCTGTAGAAGATTCCATGCTTTGCACAGGTATAGAATACACAGTGTGACTACAGTTGAATAACATCAGTTACAGAAAAGCAATATGTTTTTATGTGCAATATAACACTGATGACCCTCCCCTGTGAAAGCAGTATTATAGGAATGAGAAGCCATGTGAAGTAGCAAATGGATTTGATGTTTTTCAGTACTTTCTCTGCCAATAGCTTCCCTGCACCAAATTTTCCACTGCTCAAAGATTGCTTGTCTGTACAATTTCACTTAATTCAGAAACTTATTATTTATGTAGTCCAATAAATGCGTATATTGAAGTGGAGTTATCTAGTTCTCAAGTAATACTTTTATTTTAAACAATACTCCAATGTAAAAACCAGTAGGCCAACACATAATTATAGCATCTTCATCCTTTTTAAATTGATATGCTTTAACTCCATATTTGGTTTTGTTAACCAAAGTGTCCATAGGATTGAATTTATATTCTGTCACATATAGCTTTTCCATTATCAGAGCACACCATAGAACCCGTTTGTAGTAATATGAAGTGGTGGTGATGGTGGTAAAGAAGGGATTTCTCTCTGCCACTATTGCATCAGCTGAATCATATCCAGCTCAGTGGTTTAAGGTGCTTTGCGACTTGATAACACCCAAGTCTGACTTGGGAGCTGTTGAGTTGGCAGCAATTAGAAGTGTGCATTCAGATACATCTGAGCCAAAAATATACCCAAAAATACCTTATTAGTATTTTGGGGGTATAGTCACCATTGCGAATATATCTGCGAATTTTCCGGAAAACTGAAAAAAAAATGGTCTCAAAAAATCCCAGAAATACTTGGATATTTCAGGGAAAACTGGAAGCCAGTATTTGCAAGCTCCTGGGGGCTGTTTTTTCCTTTTCTCCCCCTCCCCTTTTGTTTCTGTCTTTGGAGTTTCTATGAGCTTCCCAAGTTGCTTTTGTCAGTTTCAGATGTGTCTTGACAGTTTCAAGAGGTTGCCTTTTTTAAAAATTGCCCTCTTTCTTTGTGTACCCTTCAGTTTTTTGCCCAGCACTTGTAAAATCCGCTCCCGCGTTGCTTGGATTTGTTATGATTCTGTGCTTTGACATCAGTCTTGTTGAGCTTGCACTGTCACAGTGGTTCTGGGTTCTTCTGGGCATTCTGTATATTACAACTGATTCTGCTGGAGGCCAACTTAAGAGTAAATCTGATAAGGCCAGACTGATCTTGCCAGTGGATGCTGATAGCTCTTTGGTGTTCTGAGAGCTACCACTTGTGCTACTGATCCATGTCCAAAAATCATTCTGGGAAAAGGTAATGGAGCCTTTGGTTAAAATAGTTAATGCCTTGCTGAGTGAGGGGGTTTTACCCAGACCTCTGAAATGGTTGTAACTTTGCATTTAAAAATTAGCTAAGGAGGAGGCATCCAATTAAAAGGTAGCTTCTAATCTGTCATTTCTGAGAGAAGGTAGAGCATGTGGTGGCATTGTAAGACTGATTTTATTTGGTAACACTTTTTAATATGGTCTGAACTGTAGGCATTTGTGTGTGGAGAAAGGTAATGATTTTAATGTATTTGGATGGTTTTAATATAGAATTATAAGCTACCATGAGCTACAAGTGAAAGACAAGGTATACATATTTTAATAAATGAAGGTCGATATTTCTGAAATAGCAAGTAAAGTTATTTAGAATATGATTGAGAGCCAGTTTGGTGTAGTGGTTAAGTGCGCGGACTCTAAACTGGGAGAACCGGGTTTGATTCCCCACTCCTCCACTTGCACCTGGCTGGATGACCTTGGGCAAGCCATAGTTCTGATAAGAGCTGTTCTTGTAAAAGAGCAGTTTCTGTCAAGAGCTCTCTCAGCCCCACCTACCTCACAGGGTGTCTGTTGTGGGGAGGGGACACAAAGACACCTTTGGGTAGTGAAGGGCAGGGTATAAATCCAATCTCTTCTTCTTCTGAATGTATTTATTGAAATTTGGGTATTATGACAAAAGATTATTCAAGTGTAACAGACATTTTTTCTCCCTCTAGAAGACAGTAAACTGCAGGCAATTTACTAACAATGATGAAAATCTCTTGGCTCAAGACAGCCATCAGCAAATGCATTCAACTTACAAGCAAATGAATTGCAAAGACTGGAGCAATAAGAAGCATCAAAATCCAGACAATGGAAGAGTTTACATCAATCCTCGGGAACATTATGTGTAATTGACTTGTAACAACTTACAGTCTAATTACTGTTATATACCATGTTGATTTCCATTTGTTTTATGTTCAGTAAATATTTTGTTTTTACTCCACCATTTTTCTTTGAAACACGTTGAAGATGATGGGGGTAGTGGAAAGATCAGGAATGCTTAGACCAGAGGGGGTATTTTTAATACTTTACAACTATAAGTGTGTTGGCCATAAACATCTCTTCTAAACTCACAGGTTTCTTAATACATGTTTGTGAATTTGTTTGTACTTCAGATATTCATAAGAGTTTAGAATCCCTTCCCTTGGCCCTTTTGAATTCTGTTTTCCTTAAACTGATGGGTTTAATGAGCACATGTGACTGCTTCTGAAAATTAAGGTCCTGTGTCATTCTTCTACTCATAGGAGAGCATCTTTGAATCTGCCTTCATGTCTACTTCTATAAAATATCATTGATTTGGCATACTACAGAGGAGGAAAGGCAATTTCTGCTAATTCCCCCCTTCACTGCAGATCTGCATTTCACTATGCTGTTCATGAGGGTCCCCTGACCTCAGGAACATACTTTTGGCTGCAGTGAAAAGTAGAAGTGGGTTAGTCTATCACAGATCCCATCAGTTTTAAGCATATTTCTGATCTCTGTCCCCACAACTTGCATTGCATCATGCATTTTGTAGCAATTGGTGTTGCTGATGAAGAGAGTGAAAGAAAATATATGCTGCTGGTTTTACCTTAAATACTTTGCTCAGTAACTGTTTTGTTTCTATTTACAAATGCTGACATACTGCCTAAGGAATTGGCAATGTGTGTCCTCTTGTTGATTAGCATTTGCTCAAGTTAACTGGTAGAATAACCACTGGTATACAAGTACAACAGAATAACTTGATGAAACACTGCTTTGAGTTTTAACTTTGATATGGATGCTCTTTCACTTAAACCTAGTTTTCTTCATCAGTTGTTTAGCCATGCCAGAAATACCAGCTGAATTACTGAAAAGAGCGTATGACCTTATGCTACAAGAAGAATAAAATCAGCAATCAGTACCAAAAAAATGGACAACAGTAGTATGTATTTTTGTTTTACTCTGTTCTGTAGAGGAGGGTAGGAAACACTTTAATGTGCAGCCCCAGTGGGGTTGAGAGTTGCTTCAGTTTTTACCATACATTTTATTTTTCATTAATCCCTTTGGCCCAATTATGTGTAAATCTCTAGTCCTAAAGATCTCCCACATTCAGCCTTTTCATATGCCTTGCAAGATGCATGCAATTATTTGTTTTTTTCCCCTTCTGGAGTGCAGCTTACCTTTACCTATTGTGCCTTTTAACTTTTAGAACTGCAAACAAAAATGGGGAGTTATGTCATGCTGCCAATAACAGGGAAGGGTGCTGGTGGGAGAAATGTGGATTGTTCTGCAAGCTTACATACCATTTGATTATCTACGTTACTGAGTGGCACTGTGTTAAAATGTTTTGTGGGGGTTACAGAAATGTAAATAGATCTTTGGAAAGAGTATCAAGTATATTTCTCAAGGTAAGTAAAAGAATACATTGCAAGTAACATAGAAATGCAAATTGTGTACTAATATGTAGCTTTTATAGAAAGTGGGTAGAAGCATTAATAACTCCACCTGTATAAAGCAGAATGGGATTTTGGTGATTCATGTAGGGAGGTGTAGCTTGCCTTGATTTAAATTTGCCTACACAATTTGCTTGCCATATGAGTGCACAGCTTGGACAAATAGGTGGGTTTTAGGGTATGGAAGAGACTTTGGAACAGAAAATAAAGTATCAAAATAATTTGATATATAAGTTTTAAAATGCAATAGTTAAATGTCTGGTATTATGTTGGAATTTTAAATGTTCATACTTTTGTAGCTTTGGGTGTATAATATTGGTTCTAAAAATTCAATAATTAAGAATGTAGTTTTCTGTATTTTAATTTTGCCAGTTTTGTCTGCCTCTATTCTGTGTGTAGAGGCAGAAGGGTTAATTTTACATTATTGTGATGTAAACAAAACTAATGATAGTTCAGAACCCAGAAAGTGTAAATGTGGTGATTACTGTGGTAGGACCATTAAACAGGAGCTGTTTTGTGTATATATAACAGTGTTCAGGACAGGAATGATGGGAAGTGTTGTTCCCATAGCTTGTGTCTTGGATATTGATAAGCATGCTTTCAGCAGCACCTGAGGCCTGACATAGGCAATACAACAAGCTTTTTGTGCTACCTTCCAGGTAGATTTAGGAAAAGGAAGTAGAGGCTGATGAGCTGTACCCATCACTAAACGAAACTTGTGGGCATTGTTCAGTTGCTTCTTGACTCTGATCAAGATTCTTACTAGACACCAGAGAGACATCAGCTGCTTCAGTTATTCTCCAAGTATTACCCTGTGCCTCTTGGCAAGATGCACACAATCCTTAACACTCATTTCATGAATGCACAGATGTAAATCCCAGAAGCAACTTCTTTCAGCAGAGTGAGTGCAAAACAGCTTGTGACATTCCAGTTATGAAGTCAAATGCAAAATAGAGCATATGTAGAAAAAACTATTTGAAGAGTAAGAAGTAAACTACAATATTTAGAATGTCAATCTATAGTTACTGCTGGAATGCTTAAATCTGGTTTTAAAAGATGAAATATTCAAAATGAGCAGGTTTTGTAGCCTGGTTTAATGTGTAGACTGAAATTTTTCTCGTTTGGAAATTATTCTCTCCTAAGATGTAAAGATTAGTTAATACTTGAGGTAGGTCATTGGTTGTCCTGTCTCATCATTTTGTAATCATGTTGTAAAGATAATATAAATAAAGGTGATTGCCTAACTTTGGGAGAAAAACATGTATAGTTTTCTTCCTTTAATATTTCTTTCTTCGACACTTGTGTGAACTTGAATTTTTGAAAAACAGGTAAAATTAAAACACTATTTAACAGATACCCTTCTTTGATTTAGATATAAGAAATATAGACTGCATCATCAAAATTAGACAACCACAAAAAATGACCGTATCCTCCTATAAAGAGTGGACAATGGGTGTTTATAAACATTTATCCTCTTGCAGGTTTTTGCTCAAACTGTTTCACAGAACTAGCTTTTTGTTTTATAATTTGCATAGTCCGTATATGGGAATGCATGGCTTGGCTTCATAAAATATTTGCAGTCTAGTGGGGAATATTTTGCTGTTTGACCATTGGGTGCACAGCAATCGGGAAAAGCTTAGTACTACATGATAAAAGGCAAGATTAGATTCTGATAAAGACCAGATAGTTATTCATTGTGTCTTAATTTCAGCCATGCCTTAGGAAAAACTAAAGGACCACACATGTGGCTCCTAATGCCACAACAAACATCTATTGGTATGCTAAAATATTTTTGTAGTAGAGCTTTCTATGGCTTTCCAGAAGTTAGAGCTGTATCTAGAGTTATTTTTCATTCCGTTTTTTTTCCTGTCAGGCACACAACTAAGACTAATACTTAAGGTGCTCTAAAACTAAGGTTGGGGGTTTTTTTTAAGGGTTAATGATGCACTCTTGAAAACTGAAATAGGTGTTGAGGTTTTTTGCCCAGTCTCACTATGATAAAGTCAAAACAATATTTGTGTGTTCTGTCTGGGATCATATAGCAACTGTTTCTACAACACTTGAAACTGAAACATTGTCCACTGCTTGTGTGGGACAGGCTCCTATTTACTCAGTTGCTGACAATTCAGTTCTACAAGAGGTAACTACACTTTTTGTTATCTTTGAATTTCAAAATGCCTCAAGTGCCATTTAAGTTGTTTAAGTTAAAGGGGGCTCCCAATCCTTCCCTCAGATTCCTGGGCTGAGCCAACAGCCAAAATATCATACTATGACAGGGTGGGACACAGGTCCATAGCCACAGGGGGAAGCATTTGGAGCAATGTCCCCCCCCCCATGGATAAGTGCTGCACTCTGCTGGAAAAATTCAAAAAATGTTTTAAAAATGTAAGATGTGTGTGGTGTTTCCTAAATGACCGTAGGCATAGTCAGGGACGCTTCAGTCTCATTTTTTCCAGGCTGAAAAATAAATAGGTTTTTAAAAATGCAAAATAATATAAAATAAAATTGCAAAATGCAAAAGATTGTCAGAGATTTTCCCCCTCCCCGACTCATGTAAACAAGGAAGGCAGTAGATGAGGAAGAGGACTCGGCTCCCCCTTTTAAATGCCACTCAAGCAGCAAGCCTACCCACAGCAGAGGAAGAGGACTCAGCTTGGCAGTGGTGGCCTCACTGCACCTTTGCCAGCCGAGCCAGCCCGGGTCACATGACAGCAGGTCACATGGCTGGGCTGGTGTGGTGTGGCCACCTCTGCCAAGCTGAGTCCTCTTCCTCTGCTGCAGGCGAGCTCACCACTTGCCGTTTTCTCTCTCTTTGCCCCATCTCCTCTGCCCCACAGGATTTCCTAATGCCCCACCACCCCAAATTTTCTGGCTACACCCATGGTGGGACAGCCAGAGTTCTTCAGCAAAGAAGAAAACACATTATTAGGGTGGCTCAGTAAGTAAAGGGAAAGAAGAACAGAGAGAAAATCTTGCCTCTGAAGGAGGGAAGTGGACATAACAAGTTATTGGCAATGGGGACAAGATAGAGAATACCCTAGTCCTCAGTCAAGCTGCAGATGGGCTTGTTTAAATTTGCCTTTTCATCAGAGCAGTGTAATCATACAGGTTGCACATAGTGATGGGTGATTTCCCCACTGTTTGACACAACTGGATCATAACTCCTTGTGTGTTTGTGTGTGTGTATTAAGATCAGCAGGTAAGAATCTTCTGGTGGTCCCCAGTCCCAAAGATACCAGGCTGGCCTGGGCCAGAGCCTTTTCCACCCTGGGTGCAGCCTGGTGGAATTCTCTGCTGAGTGACATCCGTGCCCTGTCTGACCTATTAAAGTTTCGCAGGGCATGTAAGGCAGAGATGTTCCACCAGGCCTTTGGTTGAGACCAGCAATGGTTCCTTTAATCTGCATGGCACACTTCCCCCTCCCATGATTGAATGCTAACACTGCCATCTTGTTTTTAAAATATATTTAAATGTTTTAATGCTTTGGATGTTTTAAATATTGAGTTTTTATTGTTTTAACATTGTATAATGTATGGAATTAAATTGTTGTAATATAAGAAGGAGGAGGAGCAGGAGGAGGAGGAGAAGAAGAATACATGCATACACACACACTGAAAAGGTGAATTAATTTAGAATGTTTGATAAACAGATTTATAAATATATATTCTCACATTGGTATAAATGGGGGGGCAGTGAGTTGTCTGAGCAACTGTGCAGTGTTCCCTTATGTGAATGTTAAGCAAAGTATCCAGCAAGTGTTCCCTCATGGAGGAGTAGTGGCAGTGATAAAAACCTAGCAGCATTAACATTTGTGAAAAAGCAAGTCAGCTCAGTTCAGTCACCCTTAATGGCATAATGAGAACAGTAAAATACATATAGTAACAATTCAAACAAACTAAAATATGATGATGAGCAATTGAAATACATACAATTAACTACATACAATTCAGTTTAAAAGCCTTGTATCTGATTATAGTCACTTCAGCTAGAAACTTAGCAGCCAAAGCTGTAATTCCACGGTTGGAAAAAAGCAACTCAATTTCAGTGTCAGCTAATGCTGCCATGGTC